ATACTTCTACAATGAGGACTAGCAAATGAACACAGTGAAGCTGTAAACTGCCAGGAGAACAGAACAACTGGGTGACCAACACGAAGGATCTGAGGAACAAGTGACACCTTTTCCCCAGATCCTGGGATCTCTGTATTCCCAAAGTTATTAGAGCTTCCAGAAAGCCACCTCTAATTCTGCCAGACGATATACATTTTCCTTTTAAGCTCTCCTTGGCACAGAGCCCTGCCCCTAATGGAAGGTTCAGGCATCCAGACACACTCAGAAGTGTTAAGATGATACAGCATTAAAAAACCCAACATTATAACCTAATGTATTTCATGAACGTGCAGGTAGAAACTTTGTCACTACCAGGACATGTTATAACTTTCTCCCTGGAGTGAACCAGAGTTCGAGGTGGAAGAAAAAACTCTGCTAAGGGATATGGAGTGAAAGGGATGAATCCGCCTTCAGCTTGTGTCTTTATTAAAAGGCATATCTTCATAAAAGACGTGGTGTTGAAGCTGCAAGAGAAGTGTCTCAAACTTCTCAGTCCTATCAACTTATGAGCTACAGAAAAAGTAATCACTGAATTGGTTGAAAACAATTTCTTAAGGAATGGTTCAAATGAAAGTCCCAAATTCTGTGGTGGAGGAGAAACCAATCATGCCAAATGAGCAAACTCCAATTTGTTCTCCTCCTGCAATGATGGTGCCTCATGAGAGTCTGACCTAATAGGTCAATCCCAGCTTGGGAAATAGGAAATACAGAATGTTCCTGGAAACCCTCTGGATGGGCTCTTCCACTTCAAGAGCCTCTCAGGACACTTGGCAGGTCCAGGCTCCCTCAGTTTTTATGTATAACTAGTTCCTTTAAAAGGTCACTTCAAGAAGGGGAACAAGCACTAAGTTCAGAGAAATCAAGGTTTCACTTAGCATTATTCCAGTTTATAGCAATGCTCAACATCTTCCTGGAGGGCTGGAAAGCATCAGAGAAGGAAAGTGGGAAGGGCTGCTGCAGCTACTGCCATAACCTGCCAACTCTACGTGCTTTTTGATCCTTTGGGGAAAAGAGTCAACCCCAGGGAGAGATAAAAGATAGGGAAGAGGCAAACTGACAAGGCTGCAAACCCTCCCCTCAGAGCAGGAAATACTCACAGATGTAACTACAGCCTGATGAGCACAAGGGCCACAACAGTCACCTTCCCTGGGATAGGAAACGAGAAAACTGAGAGCACATTCCCCTCTGTCCATGTTATTGGAAATAAACCCTCTTGAAAGTTATGGATGCTGTAATACACCAGCAGCTGAAGGAGGGACACATGAAGAGTTTCCAGAATTCATTCACAGGTTTTCCTAACAAGCAGCAATCATAAACCATTCTTGGAACCTTTCCTAGAGAGCAGAGCTCTTCTTCCCAAAGCCAACAGACCTGAGCTCATGGCCCAGGGAAGCCTCCCAGTCCCATCTATAATGCTTCTTGGGTTGAGAGAAGAAAATGCTCCAGGGAGACCTTTCTGTGGCCTTTCAATACTAAAAGGTGGGTTAAAAAACAGACAGAGACTTTTGATCATGGCCTGTAGTGACAGGACAAGGACAACAGCTTTAGTCTGGAAAAGAGTAGATTTACACTGGACATAGGGAAGAAAATTTTGTTTATTCTTTACTGCGAGGTCAGACCCTGGCACAGGTTTCCCAGAGAAGCTGTGGCTGCCCCCATCCCTGGAAGTGTCCAAGGCCAGGCTGGACAGGGCTTGGAGCAAGCTGGAATAGTGGAAGGTGTCCCCGCCAATGGCAAGGTGTGGAATGGGATGATCTTTAGGTCCCTTCCAACTCAAACTGATCTATGATTCTACGGTTTCACTGGCAATTCCAGGTTTAAAGCCATAACAACTTCCTTTAATGTCAGAACAGCCAAAACAATGGCTTCAGTTTCTCAAGCTCTGATTCTGGTGAGAAGAAAGACATTTCTCCTCTCTAGAAGGTTATTTTTCCTCACAGCACCTTCTGAAAGAACTTCAGCTCACAGTTCAGACTTTCCAAAGATCTGAAATACCCCACAGCCCCCCTCCATTGCTTTCTGACATTTGGAGCACCAAATGGGCTTCATTTGGTCCCTTTCAGAATGAAACAAGACAGTTCTGGAGCCGCTCGTACTTTTGGGAAGGGATAATTTAACTCCACAGACAAAGCTTTCTTCCTTGTGTCTTTTCCATGACCCTCAGGTTCCATTCTTGCCTTCAGCAAAAAGATACTTAAGTCAGTTTAATAGTTCTCATATCCATCACACTTTTATGATCCTGCCCTGCTCTGCCTGTGCCAGAACAGCAGTGTGTGTGTGGCCATAGGACGAATGAGATCAAGGAAAAACTCCTGTTACAAGAGAGTAGGGCTTTTTTTCCCAAACAGATCAGATTCCTAACTTGTTACATGTCCCAGCTGCACACACATACATCACAGCCAGGGTAGGAAAACAAAGCTGCCCGATATTAGCACTGCAACTGAGCTGCTGAGAGGAGAGGGGATGGTTACAGTTATTTTCCCTGCTGCCCAAACCAGACAAGTGTCACAAAAATCTGCTCTGAACTTTTTCCACACGGATCCTTTCCAAAGCTGGGAAATTCTCTGCAGACTGATCCTGTGAATGCTATCAGTCTCTCTTAAGACCACGCTCCAGTATACCACAGCCAGCAAATCCTTCCCTGCACAGGAATCAGGATTAACTGTGCTACAGATCCAAGGGAGAAAGAAGTATGAATTTAGGTGAGGACTGGAAGCTCCATTTTGGGATAGCAATGCCATAAGTGGTGATGGGAGGCAGCTAAATTAAGATCTCTTCTGACAATCTCTTGTTGTGCCGTTTAATCCAACGCTATAAAAAGCACCTCACGTGCAATGGGCCAAGTATTTTGGAAATTATATTAAATAAGAGCAAAATGACAGTCAGAAGGGTTTGGCAGGAGGGGGAACAGAAGGCAGCAGATGAAAAGGCTCCAGGGAGGCCTTAGAGTCCCTTCCAGCCCCTGAAGGGGCTCCAAGAGAGCGGGAGAGGGACTCTGGACAAGGGATGAAGAGACAGGGCAAGGGGGAACGGTTCCCACTGCTAGGGGGCAGGGTTAGATGGGATATTGGGAAGAAATCCTTCCCTGTGAGGGTGTGGAGGCCCTGGCACAGGTTGCCCAGAGAAGCTGTGGCTGCCCCATCCCTGGAAGTCTCCAAGGCCAGGTTGGATGGGGCTTGGAGCAACCTGGGATAACGAAAGGTGTCCCTGCCCATGGCAGGGGGGTGGAATGAGATGAGATTTAACGCCCCTCCCAACCAAACCATTCTGAGATTCCCTGATTCATTCTGTGATTCTATGATACGCAAGAGAAAAGAGCATCACAAGATTGTGCAAGAAACAGACCAAGAAAGTTGCTTTCTTTAATCAACATATTAAAGATAGCAGAGAATAAATAGGTAACAGAAAGATTCAACAGCAACAAAATACAGTACCCTCACTATTTCCCACCCTCTTTAAAATCAGGATCTTTAAAAATTAATGGCAAGGCAAAAAAAATGTAAAAAGTTGTGATTCTTATAAAAGACTAATTTTTTTTTTAAGAATTAAAAAGCTGTAAAATGAGAAACCAAAAGACAATAATGCACCCAACTGATATGATAAAAATAAGGGGTGAAACAACCGCTGTACTGGAAATTCAGCTACCAGAAGATTCCTACAATGACAAGCGCAGAGGAAGGGATGTATGTAGATACATGTAATATAATAAATAATAAATAATAAATAATAATGGCCAGTCTTCGCGAGCGAAGATCCGGGGAAGGTCTTTACACCTTCCAGCCTGCGCATTGGATTTTTTAGGTGAGACACAGTGTGCGCGGAACTGAGCCCACCCTTTAATCCTAAGGTTCATCTGCCGGGACCAAGCGAGCTTGGACGGTGGCAGCGAGGTCCTTAGGACGTAGATGGGTTGCCTTTAAGGGCTAACGAGCTCCATCAGCCCGGGGGTGGCCCTGACCGGGAATCGAACCCGGGCCTCGGCGGTGACAGCGCCGCGCCCTTACCACTAGACCACCAGGGGCTCCTTGTATATATTACATATATGCTATATGTATCCCTACTTTACATGTATCTAGGAGCCCCTGGTGGTTTAGGAGCCCCTGGTGGTCTAGTGGTAAGGGCGCAGTGCTGTCACCGCCGAGGCCCGGGTTCGATTCCCGGTCAGGGCCACCCCCGGGCTGATGGAGCTCGTTAGCCCTTAAAGGCAACCCATCTACGTCCTAAGGACCTCGCTGCCACCGTCCAAGCTCGCTTGGTCCCGGCAGATGAACCTTAGGATTAAAGGGTGGGCTCAGTTCCGCGCACACTGTGTCTCACCTAAAAAATCCAATGCGCAGGCTGGAAGGTGTAAAGACCTTCCCCGGATCTTCGCTCGCGAAGACTGGCCATTATTATTATTAATATATACACAGGCTGTGCATACTATGGTCTTCATCTCTACTTACCTTGTTTCTTAAGTCTACCTGCCACCATTTCAATCCCTCCAACAAGATATTTCTTGGACACAGATGCTCTATTTGTATCATTTCAGATCTAAATGCTAATTCTCATACTTCACTAGCAAAGCTTAAGGAAGGCAGAGCCCATGCCCTGCCTTGTGCACAGCCACACATTTTTTTAAGATGTATTTCAGGTGGTTTTTAGCAATTTGCAGGGGACAAGGCTGTGGATGGAAAGAGCAGTAACACACTGGATGAAATAAAAAAAAAGCAATCTAACTTAGAGCAATAATAAACGAAAGTATTCCACAGAAAATAACTGAAGGCAGTGGTGGAGAACACATGCATTTTTCTTCCAAATAACACTGCTATTCTCTCTGGCTGAAGGCAGCATCCAAATTGCTTTTGCTTTTCGAGTAGTAATCATTTGCATATTTTGGGGAGGGAGGGTTGTTGTTAGAGCCGGGTTTGGTACCTGCACTCAAACACCTCCACACAAACCCAGTCCTTTTGCAAGCATACCTTTAACAGTTTTGACAAAAACTTGTTTCTCTTTACTGGGGTCTTTCTCTTCTATTAGAATTCCATGGAAAATACGCCCAAAGGTGCCTGGGAAGAGAACATAAAATTAATATTAAGTGGTTAAAGCACACTGATAACATTAAGAGAGTATCTATTAAGAGAACACTACTTCAGGACGTATCAGCCACAGTAGAAAGTGAGGAGTAATGGCAGTTAAAGTGTCTATAAATCCCATAAAATCACCAACACAGAGCCCAGCCAGCTCTCCAGGATGAGGTGGATTCACAACTACAGGCAGTAAACGTTGAAGGTTTTAGATAACTAAAAATTTAGGGGGACAAGTATGAGAGTGAACTAATGACAGCAGCAGAATCCACTCAAATTAAATGTCAGTACTGGTGATGGGTTTATTTGCAGCTGTTCAGTCAACTCCCTACACTGAGAAGTCCAGCTCCTTTTCTCATCCAGCCACTCTGGAATTCTCAGTCAAAGCATTTCTCTCAAAGAGGAAGTTTTTTTGGCAATGTTCACAAGGAAACAGTGGTTTCAGCCAGCACACACAGAGAATAGTTTGCAATAAACTGCATCATATTATTCAAATGTTTCACCTCAGCTGGAAGGTGTTGGGTTTGTTTGGGGGTTCTTCAGTCTCTCCAACATTTTTCCATTCAAAAAACACTAATGATGCATGAAGAGGAGGAGCTCAGAACAACAGCAGTGTGGTAACACATGGATTCTATGAATCAATGTTTTATACGGCTCAGGTTGGCAGTGATTTTTCTGTCACATTATTACTGTGGCACCAATGTATGCATCATCCCCATGCAGCCTAACCCTGTGTCACAGCCCTTTCCCAGGGATTTCTCCAGCTTGATCAGGTTCAAAGACCTTTGATAGCATGAAATATGAATTTCTAGATACTTAAAACAGGGGTAGTGCAACACTTATATCACCTACCCTGGGGCTGCAAGTAAACCCTGCAAGAGAGCTGCCTTCAAACTGTAATCTCACTAAGGAGCAGCTTAACTAAGGAGGCTACAAGGCAACCACAAATACACAGCAGGAATTATTTAACAGCAGATTAAAACCCTCCTGGTCTTGAAGATGTGCCTTCAATATGTATTTCCAAAATAATAAAGTAGGTTAAGCTATTGGAAGTTACTTGGAGTTTATAATGAATCTCTGGCCAGGATCTGTAAAATGTATTTGATTGAGTTCCATGCAGAAATTTCTTTATTCCCTTCTTCCCCTCTGAAGCTCTTTTCTTCTTCAATGAGAGAGGCTCAACATCGCTATGATCCTGAACTAAAATTGACCAGGATGTGTCTTCTTCTAAGACCTCTGATGTGTGGATGTGGCACTTAGAGACATGGGTTAATGGTGGCCTTGGCAGTGCTGGGGGAACAGTTGGACTCGATGACCTTAGAGAGCTTTTCCAACCTTAATAATCCTTTGAGTAACTTCTGAAGATTTTGACTCCAATTACCAGCTGGAGGCTAAGAAACAAGATCCCAGGATTAACTGGGTCCACACTGCATTCAACAACCCTTTAAGACTCATCTGGTAGAGCAGGACAGCTTTGTCACCAAACACATGAAGTGCTGTTGGGGCATTGAGTCATTCCTAGTCATGGATGATTCCCAACATCCCAGCTACAGGCAGAGTAGAGGAGAAAACAAGGCACATCCCAAGGAAGGCACAAGCAAGGAAGCTTTTTGCAGGGCCCACACTGGAGCTGAGCACAGAGCTGTGCCCCCAAGGCTTCAGAGGCACACCCTGAATGGGAGCAAGGGTGTCCTCCCAGCACTGTTCAGACTAACACAGAGCATTCAGCAGTCCTGCCTCCAAAGGATAACTGTCTCAGATCTCCAGCTCTGGGAAGCTTGATTGCTCAGCGAACACAGACTCAGAGATTAATGGTAAAAAACCCTAAATATTTAAGCCTATTTATCAAATTCGGTATCAACAAGAATCAATCAACGTTGTGCATGAACAGTTCCAAAGTGAACAACTCAGAAAGTGGACTCCAGGATCCCTGTGGGTCCCTTCCAACTCCGGACATTCCATGAATTCCAGGTAATTTCTCAATTTTTGATATCAGGGCTGTAAATGTTGTACCTGCTGATTAGATTTCCAGATCAAAAGTTATCAAATTGAGACACCGAGTTTGGACAACTGAAGTTTTTCTGGGCTTTGGGTTGGTTTCACTTTGATTTTTTTTTTTATTGTTAAAGTAGGAACTCTGAAAAATGAGTTACCTGGCCACTTAAAGCCCCAACTGATTGCCTTACTCCTCAGCCATCTGACCCCTTCCTTTTTTAAGGGACCAGACTGGTAAGACAGACAAGCCCAATGATTTCCTTTTAGTTACTCCCTCATTCTAATGAATTCCAGAAACTGCTTTCCCCACACTCAAGTGCAAACATCACTCATCATTCCTCTCTTCCACCAAAGTTACAAAGATCAGAAATGTCACCCATGAATAATTTCAGAAAAATCCAGCAATAAAAATCTATGGTTATTTGTATATCGATATCTGTATATTTATGTATCTACACCATGGTGCAGGAATAAAGTCTCTGAATGCTGTAAATACCTTCCTGGAGCACGTCCTTGAGGGTTATCCTCTCCCTGGAGATGGCTATGTCCTTCACTTTAGCTTTGGCCTCCATGAGAGTGACACTTTTGAGATCATTCTTCTCTATCCGTAATGTAGGATAACCTGAGGAGCCAGCAGAGCCAAACAATCCAACATAAATACCCTTAGAATAAGAACATAAGCACACAGCTTCACCTGAGCACCACCTACAGGCACCAGCACAGCTTTAAAAACATTATGTATGCATCTTACAAAGAGGACTGAGCAACAAAAAACACAAGATGCTGTGTGAAGAATCGTCAGCAGGGAAAGAAATCACACAGGGACCCTCTGCAGTGTCACAAGATACTAATAATATATAATGATAAAGTGCCTCTTTATTAACTCCAAGGAAAGGTGATTAACACCTCCTTGCAGTGCCCTGATAAGGAGGAAATGAAGAGAGAAGATGCCTGATCCCAGCAGGACATAACCAAACTATCAGTGCCCTCTGCTGTCACTTCCACACATCTGCAGACACCATCAGAGTCAGAAAGGATGGAGTATTTTTGCACAAGTTTATGAATCATCAGAGAAATCTTGAGAATTACTCTGATAATATTTTCTTAAAAATTTAAATGTTATTGAAAACCTAGTTAATGCAACTGTGCAATGATCTTCATATTTTTTGCATCCACCCCTTTTCCTCTGTATTTTCATCCTCACTGTTCCCGGTGCTGCTGGGTATGTCCCAGAGCAGATCTGAGTTCTCTGAACCAACAAGGATTGACCAAAGCAAACAGGACCCCTTTGGGCACAGTGGCCACCACTCTGGGTGGGGTGAGGAGGGTTGGACCATCACCATGGGATTGGTCCCTGCTCTTGGCCAGAGGCTAGTTCAGAGCTTCCAGGGGTCATATTCAAAGTAACTAATTGGTGGCACTTAGGTGGTCAATCAGGACATCAAAAGCTCAACACTGAGGGGCTGGAGCATGTCTTCTCCAGAGTGGAAGAAACAGGAGAGCACAGGAGGGCTGAGAGTAATAGTGACCTTTCTGCAATGCTCCCTCATGAACTGGGATGGTCAGTACGAGCACTAAGTACAACCAGAGGACAATGGGAGATACTGTGTCGTCTTATTAGTTGCTTTAAAAAAACCCACAAGTCATAAATCATTACATTTATCTGGTTCTAAATAACATATCACAGAGTCACAGGATGGTTTGGGTGGGAAGAGACCTTAAAGTTATCCAGTCCCACCCCCTGCCATGGGCAGGGACACCTTCCATTAGCCCAGGTTGCTCCAAGCCCCGTCCAACTTGGCTTTGGACACTTCCAGGGATAGGGCAGCCAAAGCTTCTCTGGGCAACCTGGGCCAGGGCCTCCCCACTTGAATTGAAAAAACTTCTTCCTTCTATCTAATCTAAACTGACCCTCTTCTCATTTAAAATCATCACCCCTTGTCCCATCTACACTGTCATCTCCTCTCATCAGACTGCAGAACAAAGTCTCCTCAGGCATTTCATACAAAACTATATGGTCTTAAAGGTCTGCTCTAAACTCTATTTGAGAAGATCACTGGTAGCAGTAAAGAAAACATTTAATTTACACTTTCTGACACTTTCCAGCTTGGTAGCTGCCACTCTATTAAGAAAAAGAGCAATTTGAGTTTAACAGAGAAACAGTTTGTTCCTCTGTCCAGGCTCCCCCAGTTTTCTTTCTAATATAACCCTTCACCTCACTTTTGAATTTCTCCAGCAGCTCTCCAGCAGTCCCTGCAGCCACCTGAACTGGGGGTAAGTCCTGCCTTCTCCCAGTGCCCAGCTATGGACACCTCTGCCCTCCAAGCCCCAGTCCTGCCCATACGAGCCTGTGCAGAGGCCAAGCAAACCAGAAACCCCTCCTCTACCAAAAAGGTCCATTTTCAGCTGGCTCAGTCCCCTGAACGGTCTGGCAGCCCTGCAGTGCATGTGCAGCACAAGGGAAAGACTCCTGGTCACTCCAGTGAGGCTGAACAGCCAAGGAACTGCACTCCAGGAGTGTCCCTGCACTATCCAGCTTCCCTCCAGCTGGAACAGTCTCTTCCCAGGAGCAATGTTGCATGGGATAACCCTCCACTAGACAATAATTTGAGGAGCAAAATTCCACAGATAATAAATAGGTTCATTAATTACAGAATTAACACAGAACCCAGCTGAGGGCACTTGGCTTGTTCAGCTTAGAGGAGACCAAAATCAGAGCCCATCAGGGTCTGCAGCTTCCTCAGGAGGAGTGGCTCCGATCTCTGCCCTCTGTGAGCAGAGACAGGACCCAAAGGAATGGCTGGATCTGTGTCAGGGCAGGCTCAGGTTGGATCTCAGGAAAAGGTTCTTCCCCCAGAGGGTGGTTGGCACTGAACAGGCTCCCCAGGGCAGTGGGCACAGCACCAAGGCTGCCAGAGCTTCAGGAGGGTTTGGACAACACTCTGATGGACAGGGTGGGATTGCTGGGGTGTCCTGGACAGGGCCAGGAAATGGTCTGGATGATCCTTGTGGGTCCCTTCCAGCTCAGGAGATTCCATGATATCAGTTACCAGACCAGTCAGCCACAGAGAGTACAAACCACTGCCACCCTTCCTTCTCATTTACTGCTCTTTTTAGCTGCTTCATATAATTTCAAGCAAAGCTGTAAGCAAAAGAGATGAAAAGAATAACATAAGCATCAGGAACACATGGAGATGGGATCACTCCTGAGTCCCAGAGCTCCCTCCTGACTGTGGCATGGCTGGATAAGTCTGTCCTTAGATTAACACTTACTGGTTACTGGTGTGGCATTGTTGGGGGTGTCCGCTCGCAAGTACTGTGTCGTCTGCGTGGAGGGCTGGGACAGGCCTTGAGAGCTGCTGCTGTCACTGATGCTGGTTTAAAACAAAGATGGACAGTTAAAACATCACTGCTTGCCCCTGGAACATCCAAAGTTAACTTAGTAACGTTAAACCAGGAGATTTTCCAGGCAAGGCTTGGAAAGAGTGGAGTTTTTGAAGTCGCTCACACATTAAACTGCATTTCAGGGAACTCAAAAATCTCAGCACTTCTGTTCCTGAAGCGTGAAGTTTCCTCTTGTTTCTTTTGCAGAATTTGCTCTGTTTTCCAGTACTTTGCCCTCACTTTTGAATAATCAAGGTGATAAAACCTTATAGCAAGAACCACGCTGTCATTCCAAAAACAACCATTATATTCCAGAGAAGACTTGCACACATTTCTTTCATGGTATCAATGTCCCACTGAGACTCTCTTTTACAGCCCAAACTGCTGTACCCTACTTTGTCATTCCCCTTACTAAGAGCTGTCCCTTCTAGGACAATGCGGTTTTCTGATGCTTTCTCTGGTAGAAGGCCCAGTGCTGCAAGAGTATTCATGAGACAGATAAACCACAGCAGAACATCTTCTGTCTCATCCTTACAGCCAAAATCCTACCAGAGTTGTTGTAGCTGTAATGGCCGAAGAACAGGTGAAGAGGCAAAGGCAGGATCTGCTACTAGCTCAGAAGGCAGGGCCAGAGAAAACCTTTTCTGATGTCCCCCCCCAAACACACAGAAACATCCCCCCCTTTTAACCAACTTAAAAGTATCTCAACTCCTGCTGACTGTATTGAAAGAACAAAGAGGACATTGTTTTGTGATACAATCTCTGCCTTGCCAAATAATCAACATTTAATGTTTCTTGGGCTGCTGTTGAGGGCTGACCAAGCAGTGCCAGCCATCCTTGTAGGACTATAAGACTACCTTTGAAGCCAGACTTCCCTTAAAAACCAGAAATCCAAGTCAACTCTTCCCCATTATAACACAATCATGGATACACGTGCTGAATTTTTTCTTTAGAACAGAACCTGCTGGTTCTCACAACACAAACATACTGATTTATAACTGACCTCAACTCTCTCTAGAAACTTTTTTTTACAATTATTCCCAAATTCCCTGTCTTCCATGTCCAGGGTTTCAGCACAGCTTTTACCATGAGGTCAAAGCCACAGTTGCTGGTGTAGCTGCACCCCTTTAACTTCCTCTGGAGCTTCTGAATGAATATTCTCTGGTACTGACAACTCATTACTGCTTATTTTAACTGTTCCCACTATTTCACCCACAAGCTGCTTCAACATGACCCATTTCCCTGGAAACAAGTGTCTTGGCATGGTCCCTGCATTAAATATGGATGCACAACTTTTCCTGCTCTGGCTGGAAACTCTTTTGTAACCCAGTTATCCACCAGCCCAATGCATTCCTTTGGCTGGAGGCAAGTTTGAGAAAGGAATTATTCTTTTAATGCCTGTTGCAAGTCTGAAACACTCCCTTTGGTTTGGCTTCACTCTGGTTTTTAGGTTTTAATTCACCTTCTGAGCTTTCCCACTCTCATACTCTGTCAGCTTTTCAAATGATGCTTTCTTGCTTTAACGACTCCCATTATCCTGCTGTTAAGCCATGCCAGCTTTCCTTGGCACATTTACTAATGCCTTTTCTAAGAGGTTTTGCAGCATTTGCTCTGGACTCCCAATACCATGTTCTTAAATAATCTGTGTGCACCTGTAAACTCAGCTGCCTGCCTTGAGCTTCTACTTAACAACCCTCCTCGGTTTTATTTAGTTTTGGGGTTTGAAACTAAAAGCAATAGTGGGTTTTCCAGGCTCTGTTGCTCCTGAGAGGTTATTAACTCCAATTGCATTATCATATTCCATTCAGAACCCCTTTACAGCAGCAGTGTGAGACTGTATTTCAAAGCCAAATCAAAAGTTGTTTCTTCTCTCAGTGAGTTTGCTGAAAACAAAACTCCACAGATGCTGATTTTCAAGCATGTTGCCTCTGTTACCACCTTTGCTCTGGCACCAGCTGCCCACAGCTTTTACCCAGGAACCCATACAAGGTTTTGTCAGGTCAAGCACCTTTGGGCTCCAAAATCAAGCCCTCACATGGTGCTCTGAAGAGCTAAACCCCAAGAGCTGCACAAACTTCATAAGAACACAGCACGGTTTGGGTTGGAAGGGCCTTTCAAGATCATCTCATTCCAACTCTCTGCCATGGGCAGGGAAACCTCCCTGAAATGATCAGAATTTATCAGTAGGGTATAAACTGATTTACAGCAAATTATTAACACTTACAAACCACAGAGGACCAACATCAGATGGATTCTGAGACTGTATCTCCACAGAAATCCAGTGCAATGGAGCAGATGGAAGGACAACTGGTCCTGCTGCTGGGCTGAGCACCCTCAAATGATGACACTGCCCACACACTATAACTGCAATGTTTTCCCTTTCTGAATTAAAGCTGCACATCCTTTAGCACCTTCAGGTGATTAAAACCCTCAGCAGACAATCAGGCACAAAGGAATTGAGGGAAGGTGACAAGTCAATCAAGCCTTGAGAATCCACAGCTACTGAAGGTAGCGACTCCCCAAACCCACGTGGGCTGGGGACAACAGGGAAGGGGATGGCAGAGAGAAAAACTGAGAGGAACAGGTGAAAGGATGAAGAGGAAGATGGAAAGATAAAGCAACTCTCAGAGGTTAAAGGAGGCACGGCAGCAGTCCAAGATATCCTTTAGTTCAAGATACCCTTTCACCAGGGGTGACCACCCACAGGCCCAACTGTCTTCCAAAGGATCCAGTTTCAAACTGCCTGAACAGTTGTATCTGAATACAACCTGAACAGTTGTTTCAACTCGTCCTGAACAGTTGTATCTGATGCAGCCTCAGTCCACCTGCTTTTCCAGTCTTTCTTCCACCTCAGTGTTTAATCCCTACTCCACTGCCCTTGGGTTCGCATTACAAGTCCCTTTCATGTGCATGTGCCATGGTTTTTCTGGATTGGAAATGCATTTAGGAGAGTGTAACATTTCCAGCTTTATAACCAAGCAGTTGTAATCCCCACTGCATCCTAAGTGCAAAGAGAATAACGGAAAATCCATCAAAATAGAGAAAACTGAAATTCAGTCTCCTGTAGATGTCAGTAAAAAACAAATGTTTCCACAGACTCCCAGACTGGCTTGGGTTAGGAAGGACCCTAAAGCTCATCTCATTCCACCCTCTGTCATGGGCAGGGACACCTTCCATTAGCCCAGGTTGCTCCAAGCCCCGTCCAACCTGGCCTTGGACACTTCCAGGGATGGGACAGCCACAGCTTCTCTGGGCAACCTGTGCCAGGGCCTCACCACCCTCATGGGTAAGAATTTCTTCCCAATATCCCATCTAACCCTGCCCTCTGGCAGTGGGAAGTCATTCTCTCTTCTTTTATACTTTCAGGTCCTTGTTCAAAGTCCCTCTCCAGCTCTCTTGGAGCCTCCTTAGGCATTGGAAGGGGCTAAAAGGCCTTTGCAGACCGTTCTCTCCAGGCTGAACACCCCCAGCTCTCCCAGCCTGCCTTTTCAGTGTGCCCAATTTTTCCTTCAATCCTGACAACCCCTGTAAATCTGATTCTGTCCAAATTTCCCCACTCCATACAACTATTCTGACAAAAACTGAACAGCCACAACCCTCCCACCTCATAAACAGCAGAGCACCTCCAAAAGCTGCCTTTCTGCAGCACAGCACTTACCACAACCCTATACAAGTAGTACCTGCTACAGCTTTCCACTGAGAGCAGAAATCCCAAGCTATAACGGAAAGCTCATTTTGAGACCTAACTCCCACAGATCTGAGCAAACACATCCCAGAAACGCACCAGGAAAGCTGAAATACACACCTGTCATCCAACTCGATCCTTTTCATGCTGTGGAGGTGCAGAACAGCCAGGATTATTGCCACCAGGAATATCACAGCACAGCACACGCCCACACTGATGTAGAACACCCGGGTGGAAGTGGTGGGAGCTGCGTTTACGGGATCAACTGAAACAGAGAGGTAGAAAAGTCCTCAAACTCTTCTCAAACAGGAAAAAAACCACATAAACCCCCCCCAAAATTTACAATTTGTTAGTTAGTTACAGCAACGTGGGCAGAGGGGCTAGAAGCAGGGAGGGATCAGGTACCCTGGAGAACAACTACCCTGAAAGAGACAGTGGGGGGGCTAAAGAGAACACTGAGCAACACACTCCACTGCCTTTCAACAGCATTTGGGCCAAACATTGATGTTTTGGACACTGTGGAGGCTGAGTACAGTCAGCTGATGGTATTTCCAGGCAGGATCGAGTAAAAGAAACTTCCTCATCCTATTCACTCAACAATGACAGGTTAGAACAGCAAAGCGGACAGGTCCTAAAGTCCTAAAGAAAATAGATCAGTCATGGAGGGAAACCAGAGCCCCTAAGATGGGACACAAGACTTGTAAGGAGAGTTGGAATAGGGTTTTTTTTCCCCTTCACTAGTTAATATAATTAATTAATATAATTAATTACCAAAACCCCCTCCTAAAATACTGAGTATAGTACAGACTACCTGGGGAATGTTTTCATATGGAAAGCTGAGGCACCAAAGAACATCGCAAGTTTTCCAGTTTCACACCCAAAGTTGTACATTCAGCATTACTTACAGAGAGCCTTGCTGCTGTTTTTATCAGTTGTTGGAGATTTGACTTCTGGTTCAAGCTCTAAAGAGATGAGACAAAACCATTCAGTTTGGTGTACTTATATTACTGCAGCCCTTCACAGGAAGCCAATTCCCTCTTTTAAGGAAAACCAGAGTGAAGGATGAAAGACATGATGCCTACTTAAACACTCAGAAATATGCAGCTAAAGGCACAATACTCAGCTCATGTGTGTTGTAGTCCTTTACAAAGGGAACAAATCTTCATTAAGCTTATTGTGAGTCTGGTTACCCAGGGGAGCAGTGCAAAGCCAGGGAATGCAGGCTGTGGAGATGCCTTCAGGTGAACCTCCCTGAGGATTTGCATGGAGAGAATCCAATTTTTCTGTGGCTGCAAAGGCACAGTCTCACTTGCACATCCCCCTTTCTGCTTCCAGTTCTGTCCAACCCAGCCCAGCCCAGCCCCTTCCCATCCCAGTTCAGCCTGATCAACTTGTGAAAAAGTAATCCAGAGCAAGGAAAAACTGGAGACTTTCTCTCCTCCTCTTTTTTTATTCCTGTTTTAAACTTGAGGAGGAACTTTCAGGAATGCCCTGAGCAAATCCAATAGCAAGTTGCTGTGTATTTCTAACTTAGGCACTAAACTAAATCAGAAATCCCTGGGTGAACCACACCAATCAACACACCAAGTCATTGATGGTTTGATGAACCTGCAGAAATGTGATCTCTCTAAGAATCATTTCTGTGTGATTTAAAAAGTGGATTTGTCTCACACCCTCAGAAAACTGTGTGGTGCCTATGGAAACCTCTGCCATACATCTGCAGCTGCGAACGCATCAGCAGGGCTGACTTCCCCCACCTAGAATATTTGAAAAAATACCCAGGAAAACATGAAATAAAGGTAAAAAATGTCAATATTATCAGCCAGACCTCCATTTGTACTAGAAACAGAGATGCTCTTCAATTAATTATTATATTTATTATTATATTTAATTATTATAATTAAGAATTATCTTTCTATAGCATCACTGTAAGGAACAACATTACGTGCTACAAAGCCACACCAGCTCTTCTACCCACACTTTCCCCAAGTTCATCCCTGGACATTTATACTCCAAAAAAGTGACAAACTTCCCTCTGGAAAGGCAACTGCTGTCCTGTCCCTCAAAGGCTCCAAGTAAAGTGAAGAGAGTCAGGAGAAGCATGCAGAGAGAGGTGCCACCCCCCAACCGTTGCCTGGGAACAGGACACCGTGACCATTCCTAAGGAGGGTACAGCTCTGGGAATCCTCCTAAATAATTTTCTTCTGATGCCTACGAAAACACTAGGAAACACTTTGACAATTCTAGGAAGCAGCAACAATCCAAGAATGAATTATGCTTGCAGATTCCCAAGTGGAAACACCAAAGTGTTGATCTGGGATTTCCAGAGTCTGGATTACGTCCCAAGATCATTTGGTACTCCATGTCTGACAGACTTAACACCTCCCTATATTCACTACATAGCTAATCTTATCATAAGTTATAAACTAAGTGGATTTTCTTGGTAATTCTTAGAACATTTTGAATTCTCAGAGTGTTGCAGTTTTGAAGAAACACCTGAAGAAGCACAGAGAAAATGCTTTCTGAGATATATATATATAAAAATTAAAAAAAATAAAAATAAAAAATAAAAATAAAAATAAAGGTCAATCAATACAGTAGAACTCTTGGGGAAAGTTACTCATTCACCAGCTTCTGCTTTTACCAAAAGTCCCCCATCGACCTCTGAAAGACAGAATTTTACCTGGTTTCTTTCAATCCTCTCCAATACTCACTCTGTTACTCCTGTTCTGGATCACACACCCTCCCACTCCCTTTTCCTATCACACTTTAGTAACAGTAAGAACTTTTAAGGATTTGCAACTTAATCTCTTACTTTTGTAGCACATTTTCCTTCTTTTGAAATTTAAAACTGTGATGTTTTTTGAGGAATTCATTGTTAAGTTGAGCTGCATCAGTATTGTGACATCAGAGTCAAGTCTGCCAGTGCAGGAGAGTTCCACACAAAACACTGTAAAAACAACAAACGGGGATTGCAGGTAAGTTTGAGCTCTTCCCAGACATTGCGATGGAACAACTTTTCCATGACAAGGGTCTTTACAGAAGATGTTTTTAATGCACACTGTTAAATAACTCGATATTAAGAAATGTTATTTTAGCCTTCACGTCTCATCACTTCAGACAACTATTATTAGAGTATTAAAGGACATAGATTTTAAATCCATTTATGTCAATTATATTAAATGTTCACAGGTTACTAAAACTGTATTTGGGGCTAAATGACTGTTATTCCCCCATTAGCTAGATGGGGGTGGGAATTTTACCTGAGAGGGTGCGAGGAACTTCTCCCTGTAGAGAAATGTTGGCCTGGGGCAGAGCCATGGCCACAGGATCATGTACCTGAAATCCCAGTTTATACTCAACCTGTAACGAGAGTTGGGAGAGAGAAAACACATCAGAAATCTCTGCGGTAGTAAAAAGAAATGCTACATACCCTTTCACGATTCTTCTTGAAAAGAAAAGAAACTCTATATATTATTTTCAAAGAATTCTGGTGATTTTAGGTGACCACATTCCAAGTTTCTTATGTGACATTTAAATATCAGACTTTGGGGACAGTTTAAAATAAGAAAGCCAAAACAGAAATCATTCTTTAAAATTTGAGGCAGAATTTAGACTGGTGTATTAAAAAAAAAATCCCCCACAAACCTCACCTGTCAGTACTTTTAAATTTACTTGTTCAAAACTCAGTTTGTTAGCCATAGGAATTCAAAAAATTTCCCCTCTTCTAACCAGTTTTACAAACAAAATTGCTTAGGAACAATTTATTCAACTATAGTCGAGATTTTGTTTCCACTTAAGAAGCTGATTCTGCAAACATTCATTCAAACAAAACTACAAGTCCTACTTTAAGTCCTGAGATCCCGCTGGAAATTAATCCCAACACTTCACAGTCAGTTGAATGGATCTGTTTGACTTTGTTTGGCCCAACAGTTTATTTTTGTCCCTCCTTTCTAAAACATAATACAGTTCATTTCTGTTATCAATTTATTTTCCCGTCAGGATGCCAAGTGTGGAGACACAACCCAGGTTCTGAGCTCCTACAAACTGCCCTGCACCCACCCCACCAAGTCAGGACAGAAGGTGTCGAGGGTGGAATCACAGGATTGGCTACACAAGCTCAAAACTTCCTCCTCAGAATTCCCAGCCAAGCGCAAGGAAGCTCAGGGCAGGGACAGGGATGCAGGTGGCTCATGGCTGGAGCTGTAACAAGAAAACTCATGTTACTGCTCCTACTGTAGCATTTCCTACTTGAGGACAGAAGAACAACCATCACTCAATTTAAAAAAAAAAAAAAAAAAAGAGAAAAACAACCCAGAATGAACATCTGGCAGAGACTAAACAGACCATTTAATATACGAAAATAAATTGTTAAGGAACTGGAAATGCTTCAGACTGTAAGAGTACAGGCAATGTTTCTGACAGCTGCTGCTGCACGCCCCAGCCATGGTGATTAAGTGAAACAAAACCCCTTTCCATTTAATCAGGGTTCAGTAATAACATACTAGATGCTGTTTTTATAGGTTTTCCTTGTCTGCAGGCATATGTTTCTAGAAATCTCTCCAACAATTGCTGTACATATCATCTCCAGAGGCTGCCCCTTCTGCGTGTCCAGTGCACCAAGAGAAGAGATTCCACAGCCTGTGTACATACATGGACCTTGCCAGGAGCAAAAAGCATAAAACACTTTAAAATACATGCTTAACCTTTCTAAAGTGAGAAAGGAACATCTCAGATATATATCATCTAAACTTATTGCCTGCAGTCACATAAACAAGTATTTTGCACCAAGCAGACGCTAATTTTTGCAAAGAAAAGAGCCATTATGTGATACAAGAACTAATAACACTAATGATAACATTCACTAGGCAGCACAGCTCATGTCTCAAGCACTCAAACACAGAAGTTACTGCTCACCTTGGATTTAGCATGCCAGGTGAAGTGGAGATTGTTGGTCTCACTGGGAATTAAGAGATTGAAGGACAAGGCGTAGTGATTAATCACATCATTCCTCACGTAGGACAGCTCTGCATCGAGACCTGCAAGGAGAAAGGGAAGAGTGAGACACAGGAAGAACAGGACCAAACAACTCTCAGGATCACCAGCTCCACTTGTATCTGAATTTTCAGCGAATACTTCCTCAAGTCCCTAAATTCCATGGCAGGTTTGAAGGCCAATCTCGTGCACATTAGCAATGACAGAGCACTTCCAAGTCCCACAAAGCACCAGTTTCAGAGAGGTGCCACAGCCTGAGAAACAGGCAGAAGCTGAAATGGGACGAAACAAGACTTTTCGTACAATCCTCCAAGAGAGTCATTACAGGCTCTCCCTGTCTGCTCCTGGGAATCACAGCTCTGGTTCTGCTCTTATTTACAACTGTGTTCACTCAAACCAAACTGCCTTGGATTGTCAGCTGGACAATCACTGGTAATTCCACCTGGAATAGCTCATTTGTTAAAACCAAAACACATAAGCACTGTGGAATTAGTGTCAAGGTGTGGTGGTTCTCCCCCAGCTGGCCTGGGGGATTCGGGAAGAGTTAAAGCTAAGTAGGAACCTTTGTTCAGGGGAGAATTACGCACAGACCCGGAAGTTGTAACAATATGGTTTTCCGGTAAAATGTGCTGAGCACAGCAAAATGTGTTCCGTGACATGCGCAGTAACCAGAGTTATATAACTTCGTTGGTGGCCAATGGAAGGATATTTATGTATGTGAGAACCCGTGGAGAGTTGACATGTGTAGCCTAAAAAGTGTATAAAAGTAGCAGACATCATGCAATAAAGTGTTCCAGCCTCTGGACCCATAAGGGTTTGTGTCGTGTCCTGCCTCGACCCGCGACATCAAGGTAATTAGATCTACAGGATGGTTTGGGTTGGAAGGGACCCTAAAGCTCATCCAGTCCCACCCCTTGCCATAGGCAGGGACACCTCCCACTAGCCCAGGTTGCTCCAAGCCCCGTCCAACCTGGCCTTGGACACTTCCAGGGATGGAGCAGCCACAGCTTCTCTGGGCAATCTGTGCCAGAGCCTCCCCACCCTCACAGGGACATATTTATGTAAATCTCTCTTCTTTTATAGTTTGAAACCATTCCCCCTTGTCCTTTCACTGCCTGCTTGTGTACAAAGTCACTCTCCTCACACGCAGTGAGAGGAGACATTTGTTCACCCAATAATACTAATATTTTATAGCTACCCTACACTCTCTGAACATTTTAATATACCTAGAGAACTGAAAGACCCACAAAACTACTCATTACAAAGGACTAAGGTGCATTTCCCTAAATAAAACACATATTCTGATACTAAAACTCCTTCAGCTGCCCTTATTTTTTGGGCCACAAGTTCTAAGGTCACCCTGAACACAGGGCAGGACCCTGCAACTTGCCCTTGTCAATAGCAATTAGAGGCAGAGTAAGCACTACCTCCCTGCAGAGATAAAATTAATCCCAGCTCCATATCCTCAGGAAAAATCACACTGGATTTGTAATCAGTACCATTCTGCCTTGTCTCACACAGCTCTTCCTGTGCTCCCAATCAAATGCTCTCCGTGCTCAGCGATGTATGGACACGTCAGGAGAACAACAGGGCAAATAAGACACAGAATATTCTACACAGAGGGAACAGAGCTCAAATCAAACAGCCACAGCACAAATGGGAATGTAAATGATAGATTCTTTCCTTTTAAGTTTATCAGCAATGAAAACATTTCCTCTCTAGCACATCTTTTCTCATCGGTGAACTAAAGATAAAATTCCACTTCCCATGCACAGCTAAGAACCAGAGTCCTCCCCCTACAACCAAGCTTCCATCTCCCTACCTCCAATCTGCCACGGGATAGTTCTGCTTCCAGACCAGTTGTTATCCCCTTGCTGCCTCCCCACCTCAATCCTGAATTCCTGAAGCACTTTGTCTGTGTAATTTATCTCAATCAGGCCAGCAAATCACACCAAAAAAAATCACAGCTGAACCTGCCAGTGACAAACAGCCCCTTTCCTGTGCTCTGGGCAGGCACAGGCAGGTGTGTTGTGCCTGACAGAGGAGTCGCATCACATCCCAGACATAAGGGAAGGCACTGGAAAGGTCCACACAGGTCAGGAATGACACAGGGCACTGCAGAGAACAGCAGTGGAAGCCAGAGCTCACTAACGGGCTGTGGGTTCTGAGTCTCACCCTGACAGGCTGAAGTCTAACTCAGAACTGCTTTAATTCTGTATTTCACCTTTTCCCTTCGTACTTGCACACTGACACCTGCCTGGCAATGTTCCTTAGTTCAGCCTTCAGCAGGCTAAATACAGGGATCCCAGTTGGCACTATGCAGGGAATGAAAACAAGTGGGGGAATACTCCCCGGGGAGTTTAACTCTGATTTAGTGAGGATGCTCAGGAGCACACCACATGGAGGGTGAGACTACAGCAGCACTTAGATGGAGCTTATACTAAAACAGTCCTGTTACCTCATCCAGACAGTTTAAGGTTTTTTTCCAAAGCAGAGGTAGCTTTGAAAGGTGGTATCAAATGAAGCAAGTCACTGTCAACACACAGCCTAAACCAGCAACCTCAATTTTCCACTTTTTTGGAAAATACTTACACTAAAGCACAGCAGAAGCATAAGAGGCACCAGCTGAGGTAGCAGGTTGCTGAGGAAAAGAGAAACGAGGGTTGTTTCCTCAGTTGTTTCAGATTTTAAGAATGCTCAGTAAACTACTACACCAACACCTCCTGGCAGACAGGTGAGGGGAGGGAAGATGTCATTGCACAAGTTTCTCCAAAGGTGCTGAAGGCTTTCACCACCTTGCACTAAACACGGTAAATCCAGCAGCTCCCTGGACCAAACCCAAGCGGGATGTCATGTTTTATGTCCTATATGGAATGAGAACAGGAGCGAACAGGCAGCTCTAGGAGGAAAACACACCTGCACTGCAAACAGCTGAAGGAAAGGGGTAGCTCCTCAATCATCGTTTTCCAGGCAGAGCAGTAAAACACCAAGAAAGGGGTGGAGAACTTTAGAAGAAATACCAAAAACTGCAGAGGAGGAAAAGCAACTTTTCCAAAAATGCTCCTATTAGTTTCAGCAGGATATTGGTGATCCGTGATGATCAGTCTGAAAACCTGGGCTGCAGCTCTGCCCTGGCAAACTTCCCAAAATGAGTCCATGTGCTGACGACACACACGCTGGAGGATCTGGTTTCTCATTACTAGGACCTGACTAACCCACACCAAGCCACATGAAATCAGGAAGAGCAAAGCTCTGACTGGATTTCCAGGCAAAGCCACCACCCTTTCACCCAGGCAACCCCTAAATCTCATTATGAACTTCCCCATCTTGGTACCTTGGGCACAGCCTTGGAAGAACAAATTAAAGTTGAAGGCAAATAAAAAGGTAAATTTAAGCAGCAGCACAGAGAAAGCCTGTCATTCTTTGCACTGTTTAACATAACAAAACATCTGAAGAAGCTCAGAAAGAAAGGGGAGAGGCAAATTTCATGCCCAGATGCCAAAGATGCTGGGCAGCCCTTGTGTTCAGGACAAAATTGAATCATGTCAGTCCAGCAGCCTAACAAAACACTTCTTTTCAAATGTCCTTGTGCAAACGCAGTCTAGCTTCGACTCTTTTTTTCCTTCTTTCTTTTTAAGCACAATATACAAAAGAAACTTGCCTCTATCAGCATGGGAAAATTGGATTTTATTCTTATGATGTAAATCTGTCCTGCAACATCCAGTAGTAATAACACATTCTCCTTAAACACAGCAGTGTTTAGGAGTCTGTCACCTGGGGTTACACTTAATTACTTAATCACTTCAAATCATCATAACGTAATTCTGGTACATTTTGTCTAAACTGGGAGATTACAAAAATGAATGTGCAATGTAAGAGCTAGATGAGAATTCTGTTAAGACTTGGGCTAAAATATTGCAAAAAGCAGCATTTCATTAAGAGCAGTCTGGTAACAAGAGCTGACATAATTATCTGTTCCAGCACAGAAAGGACTGAAACTAGGGCCTGTTTTCCTAATGCTCTGGTCCATAATTTGAACAAGTTTCTTCATCAGCAACTGAGAAATCTCTGCAGTGTGACATCAAACCACCTCAGCCCTCCCAGACCAAAGCCACTCCTGCTCCTGACTCACAGCCACTGGAACTAATTAATTGGGAAGAGTTACCCACTTCAAGGAGTTGTTACATTCACATAAATATTCTATTTGTTCTATTCTGTGCTCCAGAATGAGGCCTCTGCTCCTGAGCAGCTCCTCCAGGTTAGTCCTCTGGCCAGAGCAGAAGTTTCCACTCCAGCATGAACATTCATGTTGCAGGAGTAGGAACCCCAAGCTTCAACACCCCTCCACCACCCCCCACTTCCCAAGTCCTGGCCCATAAACACACCGGATTCTCCCACTACTGGACAATTTACCTTCTTGAAGAAAAGTATCTTTATTTTACCTCCATTTTCCTTTCATTTAAAGTGCACCCTAAGTCTGAAACACTGACTTTAAAGCCTAAGCCTTCCTTTTTTTTGCAGCCAGTTCTGCAAACGTCCACTGAAAAATACAGTCTAAGCACAAGGGAATGTGGCTGAAGAATTAAAAATCAGCTCTTGAGTACTGAAATTTCTTTTTTTTCGTGGTAGCAAAAAAAAGAGCTTTCCCAGAGCAAACCTTCTTAGCTTGAATGTGTTTAATTAATTCACTTCAACAACCAGCTTATGCAGAGCTGAAACAACCAACAGGGAGTTAAAAAAAAAATGAGGAAAACAAATGCAAACTGATCCCCATGGATCAGTTTAGTTCAGAAAAGAGCAGACAATTGGGAATGCAGTACTAAGCATCTGAATACAGAGACACAACAAAAACTTTATACATCCCATTTGTGCGTAACAACGAAGTGTACTTTGCTTTCATAAAATCAGCCACAGATCACAGCCTTCCACTTGCATTTTTACTTAGGTTTTCCACAAAGCTACAGGCTGCCAGCTATAGCTGTTGGTCAGGAATTTGGGCTGAAATACTTGTTTTTAAACACCTTACAGCCAGGAGCCTGTGGAA